CACTCAAGTCAAAGTAAAGACTTTGAAATGTACTTCAGTAAAAAGTACCCATAACTAGCAGCTGTTTTAAAGAGTACCTGACCTCCCTTTATATTAATAGAACAATAATGTCATTGTTAGCTAATGAATGTTTCCATGGTGACCAACGGCAACATGACAACGTTTTCATTGGTCCCTCTTCTTTAGAGAAGACCAGGAAATGATGGATACACAGATCGTGTTCAAATCAATAGGCACGCAATGACTCTAAATAATAATGATCACGCCACCAAACACACATTCAAACTAAAGGAACCAGCCTGTTTGGAAAATGAGAGAAGTAGAAAGTACAGGTATTTGAGTTCAACATGTGAGAAGTAGAAAGTACAGGTATTTGAGTTCAACATGTGAGAAGTAGAAAGTACAGGTATTTGAGTTCAACATGTAAGAAGTAGAAAGTACAGGTATTTGTGTTCAACATGTAAGAAGTAGAAAGTACAGGTATTTGTGTTCAACATGTAAGAAGTAGAAAGTACAGGTATTTGTGTTCAACATGTAAGAAGTAGAAAGTACAGGTATTTGTGTTCAACATGTAAGAAGTAGAAAGTACAGGTATTTGTGTTCAACATGTAAGAAGTAGAAAGTACAGGTATTTGTGTTCAACATGTAAGAAGTAGAAAGTACAGGTATTTGGGTTAGAAATGTAAGAAGTCAAAGTCGTCAGAAAAATAAGTAGTGGAGTAAAGTACTGATACCAGAAACATGTACTTACAGTAAGCAGTAACAAAGTATTTGTACTCCACTGCTTCCCACCTCTGTCAATAGGTCAGATCCCTGGTATGCATGTGGATAAGCTACTGGAAACCTGAGAGACATGAACATTAGATCTTACCGATTGTGATCCCATTTGGCCACTCGATGTTGTCGGTTACCAGAGCGGTTCGGTCTCCTCCGTTTAAACCTCCTTTCTCGATCTTAGCGGGACTCCCCCAGTCGGTCCAGTAAAGGAAGCTGGGAGGACACAGATATGTGGTTAAAATAAAGAGTCTTGGAAGGATTTAGGGAGCATGATCTCACCGAAACACCTGAAATGTCCTTTAAACCTCGTAACATCGCATTATATCAGAATCAGAAGAGACACAGAGAGAGAAAACTATTCTAAGAAAACTATAATAACATAAAAAAATATTTTAAAAATACCAATTTGGCTGCAGATCCTAAAACGATTTGCCAGACAATGCCAATGAAAATCAAGAAATAAATACATTATCATAGCTATTATTATTTAAACAAAATGTAAGTATGGCTATTCAAAATACTGGGTCAATTCTCTTTCTGACCCTGTACTTGTCCTCGCCTGCCCTGAAATCACGGAAAATAAAACAATAAATAAATAATAATGATAACTGAGTGCTGTTCAGAGCCAATAGAAAGTCAATGAGGATCATTTGTCGTAGTGAAATCAACAGAAATACGTTTTAATTTAACCTCATGTTGGTCGAGATGGTTTGATGACTCGGCTGTTCGAGTCCAATGTGAAGTCATGTGCTGTTTTTAACCCAAAACATAGATTTTTTTATTCCCTTAACCTTCAATTATTTCTATTGTATTTATTCTATCAGCCCAATACCTACGAAACAAACAAAATACACCAAGATAATATTCAATAAAGACGCCAACTGGACAGAATCCACAGTCATACATAGATTTAGATTAAACCGATGATCAATATAGCCATTTCAAACAAACACTTACCAGTAGTTTTTTTTGCCTTAAGCCTTAAGTGTTTTCGTGATTGTCATTTAACACATTTTCTAGATTAAGCCATTTATTTTTATTCCGAATGTAAGATAAATTATGTTACAAAAATACTTGTTTAAACCCTACCGTACCGTTTTTCTGTCTGACCACATTGGATTTAACCACTTTTCTTAGTATCGTTGGACTTACTTGCTGTGGGGGTCGACCACAATGGCACGCGGTTTGGATAAATCTCGACGGAAGAGAGTTTTTCGGCGGCTGCCATCAGCGGTAACCACGGAGATGGTGCTTCGGATGCTGTCGGTCCAGTACAGGTTCCCGTGGATCCAGTCGAACGCGATGCCTTCAGGTGCGTCCATGTCTCTGCCGACCACTACGCTGTGTTCAGCCGGGTTTTCAGCCGAGTCCATCGGAGCTCTGGATAAAAAATAAAGAGCTGATATCAAGCAGGCGTAAAGAAAACACACTAAATGCAGAGGTGGGAAGTAGTGGAGTACAAATACTTTGTTACTGTACTTAAGTACATGTTTCTGGTATCAGTACTTTACTCCACTACTTATTTTTCTCGGGACTTTTCACTTTGACTTCTTACATGTTGAACTCAAATACCTGTACTTTCTACTTCTTACATGTTGAACTCAAATACCTGTACTTTCTACTTCTTACATGTTGAACACAAATACCTGTACTTTCTACTTCTTACATGTTGAACACAAATACCTGTACTTTCTACTTCTTACATGTTGAACACAAATACCTGTACTTTCTACTTCTTACATGTTGAACTCAAATACCTGTACTTTCTACTTCTTACATGTTGAACTCAAATACCTGTACTTTCTACTTCTTACATGTTGAACACAAATACCTGAACTTTCTACTTCTTACATGTTGAACTCAAATACCTGTACTTTCTACTTCTTACATGTTGAACTCAAATACCTGTACTTTCTACTTCTTACATGTTGAACTCAAATACCTGTACTTTCTACTTCTTACATGTTGAACACAAATACCTGTACTTTCTACTTCTTACATGTTGAACTCAAATACCTGTACTTTCTACTTCTCTCATTTTCCAAACAGGCTGGTTCCTTTAGTCTGAATGTGTGTTTGTGGCGTGATCATTATTATTTAGAGTCATTGCGTGCCTATTGATTTGAACACGATCCGTGTATCCATCATTTCCTGGTCTTCTCTAAAGAAGAGGGACCAATGAACACGTTGTCATGTTGCCGTTGTTCAGCATGGAAACATTCA